TGTAGGTGATGGATTCACAATTGTAGGAATATGTCTTATTTCGTTACACATTTGAATGAGACATGGTGATTATAAAAGTGTGTTTCACAAGACATGAGTATAAAAGTAAGTAAAAGGGTAACTAAGAGGGCGTTTGGAACAGATTATGCTTCACTTTTTCTTTTTTAAAAACAGAGTCAGAATCAGTTTTTAGAAGCTGGTCTCCCTCAACTTCTGAAAAAAATTATTTTAGGAGTAAATTAGAGTAGCAGAAGTACTTCTGTACTTTCATCCAAACTACCTAAAGGAAGAGAAGCAGTTTTAAGAATCATATCCAAACACCCTAACGGTCTGTTTGGATTGAGTGTTGGGGAGTGTTAGTAGGTGTTGATACTAACACTTGTTTGGGAGAAAAATTAAGAGGTGTTACTAAATGTTAGGAAGTATTATTCTGTTAATAATAACCTTCCCAACACTTCAATTGTTCACCTTTTTAACATCCCGATTTGGAGTGTTTTGAGGTGTTGGACAATTATTACCCTTCTCATTTATCCTAAAACATAAAAGTGTTTCGACACTTCGCTTCAAATATCTTTGCCACAGGTTTGATAGTCTGTCCTTTTCATCTCTTCTTCTTACTTGTTTCTTCTGTTTTAAGGTAAAATTATTATCACTTCCATTATTAACACTTCATTTTTAACACCTATATTTCCCTTCCCTTTCGGTCATTTACTAACACTTCCATTACCTACCCTTCTAATCATTCCCCTGAATAACACCCTAGACGGACTGTTGTTCTTCTCCGAATCCCCAATCTTTTCTTTTATTAAGCTCTAAAGAAGTTACAGAAATGATGTCCAGATATGACGAGAAAGATTTTCTGGCTTGTTGTGGGAGCACCAGATTCGCCAGGGAAATGGCATCAGCCGCTCCCTTCTCCGACTGCGACGCTGCCGCAAGGGCTGCCAGAGACATTTGGTTCAACAAGGCATCCCGCTGCATCTTTTCTTCTTCTTCTTCTTCTTCTTCTTCTTCTATTTTCCAATTTTCACTATCATACAATGAAATTGATCTCTGTTTGTTTTCTCAGGTCGATGTAAACGGGTGGCTCGAAGCTTTCGCTGCTCATCCCCAAATCGGCCGTATGCCATCACAGAATCATAAAAGCCCAACTAGTGCACAGTAACTCCCATCTGTCTCTCCTCTTACCTTAACCAATCTGTGAATGGAGGTTTTTATTCCATTCTGTTCACAGAAGTGTGAAACAATGCAGAATTTTGAACACACTATTGCCCATTTTGAAATTTCAGAAATGTGTGAATAGAAGTTGAGATTTGAGTCTCATTTATTCACTTCAAATTTCATCCTATGTGTGGGTTTTGTGCTAAACCTAGGCTGCTGATGGTGTGCATTCTTAATTTTTTGCTGAACTCATGGAAGTGATTTCTGGACATTTTTAACTTTCAACCACTTGTACCTTGTACAGTTGTACCCATGGTGGTGAATTCTGCTTATCTTATCACCTGAGTCTTGCAGACTTGCAGTTTTATTACTTGCTTGTCTGTAACCTGCATATGAAGGCTATGTGTGGAATCAGATATGGTAGGGAAATAGAAAAAAAATGAACTTATGTCTTTTTTTTGCCTAAAAATTATGTCTCTGTAGTGCTTGGTTTACCTCAGAAAACATGAAGGAAAACCAAATTCTAGTAAAATTTTGTGCGAGTGTATATTTACACTATAGTCTTTATATAGTAGAAATATGTAAATAACACGAGTTTGAACAAAAATCTAAAAATGAACGTACTGAAATTTTATTCTCTTTCAAAATGTTGTCACTATTATTTTTCCCTGGCATTTTCCAAGTTTTAAACAAACTTGGAAGCACATTTAATGCAAACTTTAGATAATCTCATTTTTCTCAGGTGGAGTAAGGGAGAGCAGGCAACAGCCCTAGCTACTGCCACTGATTCTAGCTTACAGGTAACGTAATAATCTAAACAATTTATTTTCAAACTCATGATAATCACTTGCATTTCATTTACTCTTCTTCTTCTTTTGTGGTAGTGATTCACACCCAAGCAAAAGAGTATTTATCCATAACACATCTTGACCTATTTTATTTTCAGGAACTAAGTGAGTGGAATGCTCGCTACATGGATAAGTTTGGATTCGTCTTCCTAATATGTGCTTCTGGGAGAAGTACCTCTGACATACTTACTGAGTTGAAGGCACCCTTTTGCTTTTTATCTATCTTCTTTTATACTTCTTCCTGTTCTTTTTCCTTTTTATACTCTATTGATGATTCCGGGCTTAATCCATCAAAACTTTCTATGGTAGCCAGAGACGTTATGAACACAGACCTATTATTGAGCTTGAAATAGCAGCTGGGGAGCAAATGAAAATAACTGAGTTACGCCTGGCCAAGCTCTTTCAAGCCGAATTAGATGGTGCCACTGTGTCTAAAGCTCCTTCAACTACGGATACTTCTAAATTAGAAGGTGATTTTCTCTTTTTGAATTGGAATTGACCTGTACACTTTTTCTTCACTTGACCATAACCGATGTTTTTTTTTTCAAAATGGGGGTCAGAGAGGGGGGGGGGGGGGATTAGTGAAGTGGTGGGGAAGAAACTTGAGGCTGATAAAAATGTAATACACTATCTTTGGCTTAATGGAGTGTGTATGAATTTTTTCCTTCCTCCCAAATATATTGTCCACTTGGACTAGACCGAGTATGTAAGAAACTGATAATTGTGTGGCTAAGATAAATCTACAAGAGAGAAATAATGGAAACAACATATTGCTATTTTAAAAGAAAATAAGTGATAATTTTGGGATGGATGGGAATAATGTGGGAATATAAGTTAGGGATATGGAGAGTAATATTTTGAAAAAGTACGTTACAGTTTGTATTTGAAGCTCTTATGATTAATTTTGTAATTTTAAAAGCATATTGATCTACATGTATAGCAATAATAATGTAGAACAAGTTAAGAAAAAGTTATTGAAACAAAGATGAGAAAACCCCCACCAAATCCCTCAAATTTGGGGAGTGCAACATGAGGAGATAGGAGGATTTTGTAGCTCCATAATTTTCCCTAAATCCCTAGGCATTGCCTTAGGAAATGTATGCAATAGGGGGAAAAGCATTTAGATGCAATATGAGTGCAATACGGGGAAAGGGATCTCGCTCTTGGGATATGAGTGCAATGTGCGTGGGCACACTAACAACAAGACATTAAATGGATCTTTTATGGTTGGTCTAATCCGTAGGTCAGCTAAAACTTGCCTGTACTGATAACATTTTCCAACATTTGCATCTTGAGGCCATTTAAATCTCCTTCACCCTAATGGGAGCACTATAATTCTTTCAAGACCTTGATGACATTATGAAACCTAATGCGTGTGTAAGTATACATTGGTAGCACATGTTTTACTTGTGTCATTAGTTTACAAGGTTCCTTAAAACTGTTCTTTATTCCTTTTATTTTTTTCTCAGTAGCAGTCACATACTAGTTGATATTTTAATTGTAGAAGATCGCATGAACATCATTGGAGCACATTTGAGAGGTCAAATAGGGAAACCAGCTCACATTCCACCCAGGACCCGCCCGCCCATCACAACTCACATTCTTGATGTTGCTCGTGGATGTCCTGCCAAAGGTGTTGAGTTGCTATTGGAAGTGTGGAAAGGAAACCAACCACGGCCCCAATTTGGAGAACCGGATAAAGGTGGTTGGATTTTGCAAGGGTCATCGGCTACCGACAAAGATGGTCGGTCTGGTCATTTGATGAGGTTGGTTGATGATTTGGACCCAGGAGTGTATCGTATAAGCTTCAACACTGGCAAGTATAATCCTGATGGGTTTTTCCCCTTCGTCTCCATTGTGTTTGAGATCAGAGAGTCTCAGAAATCGGAACATTTTCATGTTCCTCTCTTGCTTTCTCCATTCTCCTTCTCTACTTACCGAGGCAGCTAATTAAGTAGGATGTCATAGACTCATTGTGTTCTACCAACCATTATTATGTTTTGTATAATAAAGTAATCTGGATGGGATACTTATTTGTTCTTACATTATTACTCTGTAAATTATATTGAATGAATTTGTAGTACTCTCTCTGTAGTTGTGCTAATTTTTGTGTGTAAATTTTACCCATTGCCATAATGCCATGTATAGTTTTTTAGAAAACTAAATAACAAATTCGAACTTGTCAAAAAACAAGGCACATATTATACTCGGTACATGTTATGTTCAATGTTCTAAAAGGCGCTAGGTGGCTAGGCGGGCGACTAATCGGGGACTAGTCGGAATTTAGAAATTGCATTTTTATCTATATTTTTCCATAAATATGATAAGTAATATTGTGTTCTTGTGTGAATAAAATACATATATACACATACATTATCAATCATGAATGATAGAATTTCACATTTAATCGTATATAGTATATGACAACTAATCACTTAACTTCATTATGGTATAAATATAAATAATAATAAAATTTAGGTATATATACAAACATATAGTCTTTATCTTAATTTGCAATTTTATTTCTCTGTATCTATGACTAAAGTTAAAGTACTTGTATCGTTTAGAAAATTATAATTAAAAACTAAATAATGTTTGACGAATCTAGATGGCCTAGGCGGCTGATTACGCGCACTTGGTAGGCAACTAGGCGTCATAGGCGGCCGACTAATTCACCTAGACGGCAAACCAATTAGTCGGAGCGTCTAGACGAAAATCGGGGCGCCTGACCACCGCCTAGCGCCTAGATGGGGACTAGTCGGATGCCTAGAACGATTTTTAGAACATGGATTATGTTATATTAATCACTTACGGAGTATTACTTTAAATATATATATGTCCAAGTATCATATCCGTTACAATGCCATCTCCACGCCAGGAAGAAGGGGTGGGCAGCCTCTTTTACAGGAATGTGATGTGATATGGAGCCATTCAATTCCTATGGGGTAGCTATAAATACCGCATGCATTTATTTATGCAGTCCTTGATAAATCTGCTTTTGATCTCCTTTAATTACCTCTGAACCTAAATACATAGTTATCTAATTATTTTTTTTGCGTAAAGATTAACTAAAAATGCAGGCTATCAAGGAGAAATTGAATGATATGAGCGCCATTCGCAAGGCCAAGACGGCAGCCAAGGAGGAAGAAAAGGTACATATATACCTAATACTAGTCTATTCGATTCTAAAAATCATAAAAAATGTGATTTAACGGGAAAATTCATGAAATAAGAGTAAAAATGTGTTGAAATATTTAAAAAGGATCGTCATGTTTTATTCCATAAAGAGTTTCAATATTGCAAAGTTTGGAAAATAATATCAAACAAAACCGTAGTTGTTCTTATTTAGCGACTAAAATCATGACCATAAGAATTCACAAACGTTTTTACTTCTATTTAGAACAATTTCTTGATTAGTATTTTTTTTGAACAAATTTCTTGATTAATACGTAGTACATAGTATTTATAATTATGGTTTTTGGAATAGGCGGAGAAAGAATATGCAAAAGCAAGAATGGAAGTGGCTCATGAGGTGAGAATGGCGAGAGAGAAAGAAGCAGAGATGGATTATTATGTAGCCAAAGCTGCGGATAAAGCTGCTCAGCATGAAGCCAAACACTGCCATGATGATGCTGAACAGCCGCCACCATCTGCCTCCGCCGACGGTGGTGATCTGCATGCCACCACCAGCCGCCCGCCTTCTGCCACCATTTTGACCGCTGAAGGCAACCCGAGGTAGTCGCTGTGCAACCAGCTGCCGCATCGTCGTCGGATCGTATCCCTCAAGGCCGCTAGATTCCATCTTTACTAATCTTTAATCAACTTGAATGGTAGCTTTTGCTTACTTACTCCGTTCTTAAATAAATGCAACGGGTAACATTTCACACTTGTCGAGACACAACTTTGACCATTAATATAAATGATTTTGTTTAGTAAAAAAAATTTAAAAAATTAGATTATGAAAATTTACAATGAGACAAGTTTAACAATATTTTTTTCATAAAATAATATTATTATATTAATAAATAATACGTAATCAAAGTAGAATATGTGAATATTGTAAAAGTCAAAATGTTGCATTTATTTAAGAATATTTTATTGTTAGGAATCACACATACATTACTTCGTATATCAAAATAAAACAAAATTATATTGTAGAGAAATAGGGAAATGTGGTTGATACAATTAATATGTAGTTGACCATTCTAAATACTCCGTAGTTGCTATATATTTGTCAAAAATGTAGAGACTATTTTTGGTTGATAAAATAGTGATTGACGATATATATACTCCGTATATATAATCATATTTGTACTATTATATTTCTTTCAATATAATTACATAATTATACAAATTAAAGGTCTGATTCAAGTGTGAATGGCCTTCCTACGAGAATGATGAACTCAACGCACATTTTGATTCATGATAATTACTACGTAATACACATTTTCGGTTAAGATAATGAATCGTAGTTCACACAACGGCAAAAGAGTGAAATTTATTTATAAAAATATTACCACAATTTCAGATGAATACAATTCAATACACATTTTTGTTTGAGGTAATGCACAATTGTTAAATCAAATACACTAGATTGATTTCCATCCCATTTAAATCTAACAACTTCCGGTGAATTAAGGAGTTCCGGGAAAGAGTACACAATTGTTCACTTTATTTTATTTTTATTTGTGTCGTCTTTTCCCGGGAACTAAAAAGTGGAAGAATATCAGTAAGTGCAAGCCTGCAAGGTAATGGTATTGCTAATTATTGTCGTGGTATGATAAAATGTTCTTTTAGTTATTATATATGGCGAGGTAATTATGTATGGGATCATCAGTAGCCGTGTTTGTGTGTTAATGATAACGATAAAGGTAAATGTTAAAGTAATAGAGTACTACAATGATAATGGTTATGATAATTAATGACATTGGAAATAGATTCTTACTCCGTACATACAATTCAAGTGAAATAGCTTCTAAAATTTTTATTTGCTATATTCAAGTTGACTAATAGTTTTTGAAAAAAATTATGGTAATGGAGTGATCATGATATAACAATGGTAAATACTAATAAAGTATGTGGACTGTGGTGCCATGTACCTAAATGATGACATGATTGTGAAACTGTTAAGGAGGTTCCAGATTTGAATATCATCTAGTTCAAGAGTATTGGTCTTAACATGCAGAACAGATACTATAATAAGTTAGAAAGATTTATCCAATAAAAACTGTGTGAACTGTGGTAGTGGTGAGATAATAGTAATGAATATATATAGTAGTAATAAGAGAGAATTCCCCAAATATGAGTAAAAGATAGGCAAAATGCAAAAATAGGAGTACTATGTTTTGAATAGGAGTAACTTTAGTGTTTGGACAAGTATACCCCTACCCAAGCTTCAACAACTTTCATTAGTAATTAAAACATAAAAGAAATAACATTAATTTATAATAAAATTGTAAAAAATGAAAAACACAAAAATATATCAAATAAAACACACTCTGTATTAAATAAAATTAATAAAAATAAAAATTATTAAAATAAAAAATTATTAAATAAAAAACTTAAAAAATTAAAATTAAAAAATTAAAAAATGAAAAAATATAAAACAAATATGTAGGCGTGTGCATCAGTCTCAACAACCTCACAGCACCACCGGCTCCGACCACCGAAAAAAATGCCAACATTTTTTCGAAATGCCATCATGATGGCAGATTTTGAGAAAACTTGGCATTTTCAAAGAGTAAAAATGCCATCTTTATGGCATTTTCAAAGAAAAATGGCAATTTTAACATAAAATGGCATTTTTTTCGTCGATCGGAGGTGGCATTGCTGGGTGATGGCCGAGGTTGCGGGAAAGGCTTTGACGTGCACTTTGTCGTGTGTGCGTCAAAATAAATTCAATACTAGCACTTATACGTAGTATAGCGTAGTAGAGTTTGTATCCACAGGGAAAGGAATAATTCTCTTTTATAAAACTAGTAAATAAATAAAAGGGGGTTTTGGGTTGAATGATTTAATTAAATTAAACACGAAGATGAACGAGTTATATGGGATTAAATTCAAGAATAAAAGAGACTTGGTCTTGCTACTTTCCACTTGTTGATATATTTTAGTCGATCATTGTTATATCTATAACTTATCCCCTCTCGAATACTCAATCGCGGAGTATCTCCAATTCATCGAGGGTAGTTATTAACAACGACCGTTCATTAATAACCCTTACTATTTATCAAATATAGAACAACGCCGTATACCGATATAATAGTAGCATTTAACCTCTTTAACTCCTTGATGAAATCAATTGAGATTGATAACCTCAACACAACGGTTTCGGTTTAACCAACAAAATTAATCCCTCTTAAGTTTATTAACCACGACCGTGCATTAATAAACCGAAGTTACTTACTTGTGAAACCATCAACGTTTAACCATCGGTTCGTTGATCGTTCCTAGTAATAATCAATGCCGGAACGTTAACCAATCGTCACTTAGTCACCCTCCAACATTAATATAGAATGAGATTAAGGGAAGAGTTAATAATCAAGAGGAGAAAGTAAGAAAATAACTCACAACTTTAATAATCAACAAGCTTCAAGAACAAAACCAAGAAATGGAAGTTTAGCTCCTCATTTGGAGACTAAACATGCTATACAAAATAGAAGAAATAACTATTCTAAACTGAGCTTAAGTATATGGAAGAATGGAATGGATTTTTGTGAAGGAAAGAGGGTGTATTTATAGGGAAATGAAGGTGGCAGGATCATGTACCCGACTGGGTGTTTGGGGTAATTTTTTCCGTTTGTACCCGACCCGGCAGGAAAAAAGCTATAGAACTTTTTTCCGTCTTCATTGTAGTGAGAGTTGGAAAGGCATTGTGCACTACTAAGGAAACCAAGGCTCATTAAACAAGAATCGGGTATAGGGGAGTTATCCGTATACCCGAATTTTGTTGCTAGGTGCATGATCACTCCCCCCACAAACAATTTTTCCACCTGCTTTGCACTCTTTGAGTAAGTGCGCCCACATCATGCTACAGATATCAAAATACTTGGCGCGGTAGTACAAAGCATTTGTGAGGATGCACACATCTCCCATCCTCACATGGTGGTTATTTGGGCGTCCAAACAAACAATTGGCCAAAAATTTCAAGAAGATTCGGAAAATCGGGTGTTGAACGTGACTGACGGTCAGTTTTCCCGAATCAACAGTAGTTTCTCCAGTCAATTTCATCCACAAATCATGGCCATAAACAGTATTTTCGGAGACTTTTGCATTCAAAGGTTCGGGAAGACCAAAGTGTGCAGCAAATTCACGTTTAGTGATGGTGTGTTTTTTATTGAACAACCTAAACGTGATTTTGCTTTCCCTTAAATCATCCTCATTCTCAACCAATTTAGCCGAACTCATAAATTCAAAGATAATGCGCTCATTTGAGTTATATTTCAAACCAAATATGAGACCCATATGCAATTTGTTGAACAACTCTTCCATAATCACAAACAAATTCAAAGCACGGAGAGTTTCATGACACATAAAACGGGAGGGATGAACTTGCCTATTAATGTGTTTGATGAACTTTGCCCTTTGGGAGCCATTCGTGAGGATGACGTCTTCAAAGCCCGGAATAGGAGCCGTGGAGGAAGAGCTTTCACCTTGTGGCCTTTTTGGAGCCATTTATGAGTCAAAAATGGAAGTTCTTGGAGGGGGGGGGGGGTAGGGTTTCGGTTTTTGGGGATTTTGGGGAAAAGAGGAGGATTTATGGGTATGAGGTTGAAGAGAATGGTGAGGGGATGATTTTGGTGGTGATAAGAGTTGATTTGGTGAATTGTTGAGGTAGAAATCGAAGCTTTGAGGTTCGAAAATGGGGGTTTGGGAAGAGGGAGTTCGAATGTTTTGAGATAAGTGGGGAAGATGAAGTGGTTTTGGGGTATTTGGGGTTGAAAATCGGTCGCGTACCCGATCGGGTACCCCGTCAAACCCGGTCGGGTATGTGATTTTTGTACTGTAATTCAAAGGGTTTACCCGATCGCGGGTATGAATGTACCCGGTCGGGAAAAGTAGGCAGTGGCCTCCAAACTTGAAAATATACGCATACCCGACCGGGTATATATCCTCACCCGATCGGGTGTTCCATTTTTGTGCTTAGTTTTGAAGGCTTTACCCGACCGCGGGTTTAGGCATACCCGTCCGGGAAATTTTGGCAGGGGCCTCCAAACTTAAAAATCTATGCATACCCGACCGGGTATATATCCTCACCCGATCAGGTTGTCTTTTTTTTTTTTTTTTTTGAACACACACACTCTACGAGAAATAATTAAAGAAAACATACCTTGCATGGGTTGCCTACCAAGAAGCGCTTTATTTAACGTCGTGGCTCGACGATTTATTCTTCACTCATAGACCGGTTCAGAAAGGTCCATGACTTCCACATTTTTGGGTTGAAAACCCTCAAAGAAGGATTTTAATCTTTGTCCATTTACCTTGAGCACCTCTCCCGTCTCCAGGTCTTCAATTTCCACCGCCCCGTGTGGATATATTTTGACCACTTTGTATGGTCCAGTCCAACGGGATCTCAGCTTTCCCGGAAATAGACGCAGGCGTGATTGAAAAAGGAGGACTTTTTCATCAAGTTTAAAGTTCTTCCTTATGATCATCTTATCATGCCAAGCCTTCGTCTTTCTTTTGTAGATCTCCGCGTTGTCATAAGAATCCAAACGAAGTTCTTCCAATTCTTGCAATTGGAGTTTCCTATGCAAACCGGCCTCGTCAAGATTGAGGTTGAATTCTTTTATTGCCCAATACGACTTGTGTTCAAGCTCTACGGGAAGATGACAAGCTTTCCCAAACACAAGTCTATAAGGGGACATACCGATTGGAGTTTTGTAGGCGGTTCGGTATGCCCATAGTGCATCATCAATGCGTATACTCCAATCCTTCCGATTTGGGTTCACTGTTTTCTGGAGTATAGACTTCAACTCCCTATTTGAGGTTTCCGCTTGGCCATTGGTTTGAGGGTGGTAAGCAGTGGAGATCTTGTGAGTCACACCATATTTCTTTAGTAGGGATCCCACAATTTTATTACAAAAATGTGTGTCTCGATCGCTTATTAAAATTCGAGGGATCCCGAACCTTGAAAATATGTGTGTTTTGAGGAAACTAGCCACCACCTTGGCATCATCAGTCTTTGTTGCCTTTGCCTCCACCCATTTGGAGACGTAATCTACCGCAAGAAGGATGTAGATGTTACCTTGAGAGTTTGGGAAAGGTCCCATGAAGTCAATACCCCATGCATCGAAAATCTCACAGAAAAGCATTGGGTTTTGTGGCATCTCGTTTCTCCTTGAAATGTTGCCCGCTCTTTGACAATTGTCACAAGA